GACTGCAGATTGGAACAAGATACAGGTCCCTTTCACCAGAGGATGCAGCAATTACTCACTATCAGTAAATGTCGATAAACTAGTGATCAAGTATGTGAAAGGACTCAACACAGTTTTCATTAGTTCCATTTAATTTTATAATGTTCACTTAAAAGAAATTAACATACTTCACAAAACCATATGCAGGAAAGCTCAGATTCTCATCGAGTCACCTATCAAACTAGGAATTGCAGCACTGGTACTGATGAATTCAATTTTACATTTATAAAGACGAAAAAAATATTAATTTGGGTCTCGTTTATAATAGAAACATCGATTAAACATTAGATCGTTAATGAGCCAACATTATGTAAGAATCGATCGATTAGTTTATTTCAATAAGCTGTTCAATGCATGATCTGCTCAACTTTCACCAGATTTTTACTTATGTTTCCAATTTTCCCCGAAGATCAGACTATATTCAAGATCGTGAGTTCATTGTTTGATGCATTCCCAGCAGCTACAGAGTGTACGCTCCACATTTACCATATACTTCAACACAAACTTAAATCACATAAACACCATACTGACACTAATATTATTTGCTCTTGCAGGGTTCTTAACAAGCCCACATGTTATGTTCCAACTACTACTAAAGGCATTCAAACTAACCATACAGCCCATAATAGGCCCAGTCCTAGCATGGTACATCAAACTACTAAACACAGGAGCTTGCATTCTAAGCTTCACTCTCAAAATACTCTACCACCTCGCGAAATTTTTTCACAAATAGCACACAGACCACAAAAGATCAGGTAAAAACAAGTCCTAAATTTCATTCCATAAGACAATTCCAAAATTTGATCATATTCAATCACCCCTTTAAAGACCATAATATATTCTGCTACATTTTCTCTGAAATCAGTAATTCCCAAAGCTTTGTCCCTGAAAAATATATAACGCACAATACACTTGTCTAAATAACTGATTGAAGATGTAATGTAAATGTTAAATTACACCAATTAGGGATTTCAGAGTTCAGTAAGTAAAATGAATGTATAAAAAATCCAAAAATTAGGGTTATTGATGACTTTGAGGTCTTACAGAAGCTAAGGGAAGAGATTCGTGCAGGTTTTACCATTCTTCACCGGGAACACAATCATGAACATAATTGTCTCGAACGTCGACCTTCTCGGTCAAATTCACGGGGAAGCTTCGGGCTATTGGAGCTCGATCATCGACCAAATTTGAAATTTCCACTTTAGACTTGCTTTCCCATTTCGAGAAATCAGGAAAATCGATGACGGAGATGAGATCAACTTTAGTCTAGTTATTTGAAAAATTTATTTTAATATTTATTTAAGTATTTTTATTTTTTTGTTTAGCCATTATCTTTATATTGGGAGTACTATTTTTGGGTCTTTAGCATAGTTTTTAAACTCGACCCAGGAATCGACCCAAGTAGGTATCCAGGTTATCGAGTTACCGGTTCAACCGTCGGGTCATCGGGTCAATTGTTGGACCGGATAATTAATTTTAAAACTTTTTAAATTATATATAGATTATTTTGTTATATAAATATACATAAAAGTAACAAAACTAAATGTTTTGTATATAAAATTTGTACAATGAAGTGTTAATAATATGTATTTCATGATAAATATTTACCATATAAATATATATATACATAGTTTTATTTTCTTTTTAAAAAAATATTTTAAAAAATAAAAAAAAATAATAAAAATATATATAGGGCCGGGTCAATGCCCTGGGTCATGACCGGGTTGGCCCGGTTTTGACCGAGTCATTTGTTCCCCGGTCTGAATAGCCCACCCGGACCTGTTCCAGCTCTGGGTCGATCTGCCGAGCCGGTCCGAATTGAAAAACACTGGTCTTTAGATTGTGTCCAATCTTCTACTCTAGTGCAATGTTTAACTTTCTCTCAATCGTTCACGTTACACTTTATTCTACATGAAATATTGTAGTAGAAAATAAAATTTAAACACAGATATTAAATTAAAATTTAAAATTATTTAACAAAATAAATAATTTTATTGATGTATGCATGTTTTTTCAAAAACTATATAAAAAAAATTATTTAAAAAATAATAATTTAAAATAAATTAGCGCAATTAATAATACCACGTTACATGGAGCAAGTTTTTATGCACTACTTTAGAGTGGAGTAACATTGTGGCGCATGACTGGAGAAGCCTTTAATATTTAAGACTTCACTTCATTGTTATTAGGTTAATTGATTTTTAATTAAGAAACAAGAAAACTCCGAAAATTCTCTTTCAATCTCTTCACTTCATTGTTATTAGGTTGGTTGATTTTTAATTAAGAAATAAGAAAAATCGAAAATTGTCTTTCAATCTCTCTTGTCGATATGTTATCGCTACGTTAGGACCGAACACATTCACTCGGCAAGTGTCTTCGTGGGCTAGTCGTGAATGTGGATGGGCTGAGTTCTGGTTCATGGCACACAGGTTGAGACCGAGTATCGTGAGAGATGGGTGATTTATGACGTCATTGGAGTTTGGGAAATCCCATGATGAGGCTGATCTGCTCATTGTTTTATACAAATTCAATTCCCATGTTGTGAAACTCGTACTTGGTCATAATAGCGAAACCTAAAATATATTCACTTAGCCATTGAACATTATAGAAGTATATGTATCATTTTGGTAATAAATATAAGATGGATAGACAACGATTCAAAATTTAGTAATCCAGATAAATGTAATCACAACTATATATAAATTGATGTAGTTCTCATTCATCGAAGTTATTTAAATTGTAAGTTCAATAATAATTTAGTTTCTAATTTCAATTTAGTCGGCTTGCATTAAAAGTTTAATTATAATTGTTATTTTAATAATAATTTAAATGTTTGGGCCATAAGGTATGGAGATTTACATATTGGGTGGCGCATGATGAGCAGTGTTTTAAAACATACCGTGGTATTTAAGCTATTTGAGCATAAAAATTATTTTTATATAAATATTATAGTTATATTTACATATAATAAAAGTGTATGGTTGATTCCAAAAATTATCATAATATTTGAATGAATTAAAAAATAACATCTAAGAATTATTTTTCACAAATGCTTAATATAAATATCATAATATAAATATTTAAATAATAAAGCGAACATACTAAAAAGTAAAAACAAACTGCGAATATATAATGAAGTAAGTCATAGTTTTGTTTTAAGTATATGCATTTTATTTATTATCTTTATTTAATTACAACTTAATTCTAACCACTATATATGGACATTTTATTCTTTCTTTAAATGTTAAATATCAAAAATTAAAATGATATAATAGAAATAGACCATTAAATATTGTACTATTTAACTTAGGAATTTACATTTTCAAACTTTTAATTTAAAATCATTATCAAAAGTTTAGTTTTTAGTTGTCATTTTAAAATATTACTCTAATCTCTAAAAAATACGAGTTTTGAAATATTTTATTGTTTAATATTGTTGCAGAAATATAGCGCAATGTCGCGCACAATAGCGTGAAATAACTCAAAATAGTGCGTGAAATAACTCAAAATAGCGTAAAAAAGCATGTTAGCGTGAAATAACTCAAAATAGCGTAAAAAAGCATTACGTCGCATTTTTTGGAAAAAAAAGCTACATAGCGAGCTACGTATCAAGTTATTTAAAAAGGTATGAGTGACAGGTAAAGATAGCATAATTGGAATCTCAAAATAAAAATATTACATTTCAAAAGAAAAAAAAATCTTACCTCATGCTATTTATTACCATTATTTTCTAAATTTTATATATTTTTTTATTTACACGACTATTATATATTTTCCCTCAAAAAGAGTTAAAAAAAATTGATGTGATGTGTTATCAACAATATATAATACTCTTTTGTTGATAAAAATTCAATAAATACAGTAAATAATATAATATTAATATTATCATCTTCACTAACCAAAAAACAAGGCATAACAAGAAAGAGACAAAGCACCGGCCACCGAGTCGTCCTCTCAAAACACAAAGAAAAAACCGGTCATACTTCCCCACAAACTATGCTAACCAACCATCCATCCATTTTCCGGGTAAAAAATCACAACTAACAACAAACATCATCTAACTCCTCTTCATTTCCTCCTCTCTTCTCCTCCCCAATCAATCAATCAACCAATCTATCCCCCAATCCAAACACACACACACACACACACTCCCATCACCGACCATGGATTAAACTATATTCAAGATCTTGAGTTCATTGTTTGATGCATTCCCAGCAGCTACAAAGTGTACGCCCCAATTTACCATATACTCTTAAACGCAAACTTAAATCACATAAACACCATATACTAACAGAAGATTATTTGCTCATGCAGGGTTCTTAACAAGCCCACAGGAGCTTGTTAAACTAACCATACAGCCCATAATAGGCCCATTCCTAGAATGGTACATCAAACTACTAAACACAGGAGCTTGCATTCTCAGCTTCACTCTCAAAATATTCTACCACCTCGAGAAAATTTTTCGCAACTGGCACACAGACCACAACAGATCAGGTAAAAGAAAGTCCCAAATTTCATTTCAAAGACAACTCCAAAATTAGTTCATATTCAATCACCCCTTTAAAGACCATAATATATTCTGTTACGTTTTCTCTTATTCAGTAATATATTTACATTACGTTTTCTCCATTGTTCACCGGGAATACAATCACGAACATAAATGTCTCGAACGTCGACCCTTCTTGGTCAAATTCACGGGGAGGGTTTGGGCTTTTGGAGCTCGATCATCACCAATTTCCACTTTAAACTTGCTTTCCCGTCTCGAGAAATCAAGGAAAATCGATGGAGATGAGATTGCAGTTCTGAACAGACACATTTTAGCATCATTAATCTAGTTATTTACGAAGTTTATTTTAATATTTATTTAAGTATTTTTATTTTCTTGTTTAACCAGAGACTATGTTATGTATGGAAAAATTAGCTCATAGCTATAAGTTAGGTTATAGCTATATGTAATTTTCGATCTTGTAGTTTATAGCTGAAAAATTAGTTTATATGATAAAAGTGTTTGGTAAGATTAGTTGATAAGTTAGCTGAAATAAAAATTTCAACTAGTTTATTTAAGAAACTACCTAAACAAGCTTATAAGTTAAGCTCGAGCTTTTTAAAAAAGCTCGTCCTACCAAACCAGACTTATTTAAATATACAAGAAGTTTGTAAGCTAACCAAATAAATTATAATCTAACTTATTGGGCTACCAAACATAGCCTATAGTTCTGTTACGGATATATTTAGACATGGCCAAGGATCGAACCGGCCCAGTGACCCGCCCTGAAACCGGCCCGGATTTACCGGTTTTTGAACAGGACCCTTAGCCCTTAAGGGCCAGTTCTGGGTCTTAATTTTTCTTTTTTGACGGGCCGATTCCGGGTCGGAAGGCGGGTCGTAGTTGATTTAATTTTTTTCATTTAAAAAATAAATAAACGGTCGTAGATATAATCGGCCCGGTCTTTGGACACGTCTAGATATATTGGTAGTATACTAACTTTTTAATCTTTAAACCATATACAATCATATCCTCTACGCTCTAGTGTAGTGTTTAGTCTACTCTAAGTAGATAACTAGTGCATATCCCGTGCAATGCACGGAGGAGCTCATATTTTAAACCTTTTTTAGATTTTATTTTAAATATAATTATTTATATTTTTTACATCTCATCTCATTATGGAAATAAAATAAACACAAACAACGAAAAATGTATATGGTTAAACACTTCTCTTTACACAATAGTTTTTATTTAAGGAATATTATTAAACCTTGCAGTTTTGATTTTTATTTTTAAAAAAAAAAGAAAAACCAATTATCCAATCAATGATTGTTAATATAAAAAAAATAATGGAAAGAATCCCGACTTTAAAGTAAAACTATTTTTTATTTTTATTTTTACACATCAAAATCATCTATTTTTTTTAGCACTCTCATATATCAATTTCAATGTTACTTCATGCCAAGTTATTCAATGATCAACCATTAGTCAAATTACTGATCAATTAGAAGAGAAATCTAAATATTATTCTATATCGTCTTTTTTTTTCTTTCTTATTTAATTTTTTAATCAAACAATTAATAGAAAATCTTATTCCCATCATATATCTAATTATTATAAAATCAAATTCAATCTAATTAAAGTAACAATTTAAAATTATAATAAATCCATGTTCAATATAATTAAAGTAACAAATTAGACAATATAACTGATATAGCCACATAAGGATAACCCGGCTCAGAGGCTCCTTACTCGACCGGTGAACCACTTGAACAACTCGCATGTCGACATGACTCCGTCGACATGCTCAAATCGACTTCCCTAAAGTCGATTCTACGGAGAGCAATCGAGAAGAGGCAGAAATCGGTCTAGTCGACTCTCGCAAGTCGACCTTAGCCTATCGACTTTCACTAGTCGATATCAATAGCGGAAGAACAACAAAAGCATAACTTCCAACCATCCAGATACTCTAAGTC